TACAAAAACCATCCAGCCAACTAAACATCTCCAGAGGGGAAGTGTGTCAACACTCCTCAAGCTCATGGGGTTTACTCAAAGTTTAGTGGTTTCTGACCCATTCTCAACTTCTGGCTTCCAACTACTAGAAACAACTGAAAAACCAACTCAGTGGAACCACCTTCTGCTGCTAGTTCTGGGTCATAAGGCACTAGACTGAAATCCAGATGAATCTTGTCCAGTTACTATTCAAAAAGATTGGTTACAAATCACATTCCTGGCTACAGTATATGAAATGAGCCTTCTGTCCAATACCCTTTCTTTATAAAGCTTGTCTCTAGTCCACTCCAGCAGAAGAGAGGAGCCAGAGCCTCTTCCATTAGCATTCCATTGATATGGACTAACAATAGGCTCAGGAATGAAAACAGACAGAGTAACTAATAGTAGCAAGGTACTACTCTAGTACTGAGTTGGAAATGATAAAGTGGGAAGCATGGTACTACAAACAGTATCTACACCAATGACAAAGCCCCCAGAAGACTGTACCTGTTAACAGAGTGATGTATCTCAGTTTGATGTTGTCCAGAACCCTTTTAAACTCCAGAGGCTCATCTTGACTCCAAGGCAGCAGGATCTCAGACATCTCCGTAGATGATCCAGATGATGTCACAGTGAAGCTCTGCACTGTCAGATTATACTGGAGCAGAGGTCTTCCAGGGATTTGACCAGCCTTCTCTACAGGAAGAGAAGGAAACCCAGCTGCCTGGGGAAGACTGCTTCATAACACACAATTAGACTTGCCATTCAATTTCACAGTTTCAGGTCATTTGTTTTCTTGTTTGTTTGTTTTCATGGCGCTAGAGAACCCAGGTCCTTGTGTGTGCTAGGTAAGCACTCTGTCACCAAGCCACATCCCCAGCACGAGGTTACAGGTACTGAAATCACATCAACAGCACTTTATTAGACATCCCTGAAGAGTCCCTCCTTTGCCTGAGAACAGCAGGGCCACCAGTGCCTCACTAGCCTGTGCAGTGAGAGGCAGCTCATGCTCCAACCTCCCGTGTTACCTGTGTCAAGTCTCCCTGCAACAGAAACCTCACCAGCCCCAAGAACTCTGCACACTGCTTTCCTGGGCTGCTTAGTCTTCCCACCCAGCTCCCTATGGTGCAAACTAGTTTTTATGCAAATTCAAGACAGGGCCCATGCAGACTTCAGTGCAGAGAATCAGATGTAAGCCCTCTTTGGGGACAGAGGACAAAGAAGCAGGGCTACAGACTATAGGAATCAAGGGCAGCAGCCATTTCTCAACTATGCTTGGGAAAACCTTCCTCCACCAGCCAGCAGTGAGACTCTAGCCTAGAGAATGAGAGAAACCTTAGAAAACAGACTTGCTTTTTCCAGAAGCCACTGCTTCTAGGTTATCCTGGTGCTCTTGGAAATTCATACTGTACTTGTGAACATCCTAAGTCACAGCTCCTCATACCACGAGTGGAAAAGACATTCACAGTTCCTTTTGACAAATGTAGCTCATCTCAAAACCAAAGGGCAATTCCCAGCAGATGTCCACAGCATCAGGGGATAACAAACAAGTACAGACGGGACATTGTCTGCACAAGGGACTCTGGCCGCTATCTTACCCTCTTCACCTTTATCTGGCTCACTGGCTCATCAAATCCTGGTTTGCAGTCTGCAAGGTCCGCACTTCCACAGAGGGACAGACAGACACAAAGCTGTATCAAGCATGTGACCCAACAATGTGGCCTGTCACCTTTAACTAGTGTCATAAACAGTCAAGAACATGAACAATTTTCGAAGGTAGCTCAGCAGTTAATGCACTGGTCTAGCATTAGGGAGGGCCTGAGTCAATCCCCAGCAACAGAAACACACATGGATTTTCTTTTCTTGCAACACATAGAGCTACTGATGTATCAGGGAGTGGAAATGATCATGGAGTCTGGAAAGAAATCCTCTGCTGTGACCTTTAGAGAGACACAGAGGGTCAAATTTTATAGACATTTGTAAGTGCAGCAAAGAACCCTCTCACTCAGCCTTGTCATCCTGAAGCTATAATTACTGGGAGCCATGGAAAGGATGAATGATGAGACCTGACAGTGGCATGGTAAGAGTCAGAAACCTCTCAGTAACTAGCAGGCATTTATCACCCCCACGCCCCAGTTATACTAGGAAACAGCTAAGGGAGGCTGAATGGCAAGTCCAGGCCACAAGATCAGCATGCCCCTCTAGAGGACTTAGCCACTTGGGACTCTGACCTCATCTCTACCTGTAATAGTACACAGGATAATCTGAGCTCAGTTATTATTTTGTTTCTTTAGTTCCAGAACACCAACATGTCTAAATGTTCTCCTCAATACCAAAGTGGGAGTAAATCATAGCTCTTGTACAAAACACACACTAGCACAGAGACAAACACACAACCACACAGGCACACACGCACGCAGATAAGCACAGAGCAGTCTAAAAATTCTAAAATCTATCCACAGAAGAAAATGTCCCCTGGAGGCTACACACATACCCAGCCAGTGACCCAAGAACTGGCAGGTACCCTATGCCCTTGCCTACAGGAGAAATAATTTGGACAGGCCATCTTTGCTAGGATGCCAGGGCAGGTAGGAGTCTCAGAAGAGGAATGTGTGAATTGGAGCTGCTATCCCAGAAGTGTGAAGGACCTCAGATGGCACCCAACCCACTCCCTGGGCACCTACTGTCTTCAAGACATCCATACTGTGGGCCAGCCCGCCCACCTCCAAACCAGATCCACCTGTAGCTAGAGCTACTGAAAATGTAAAACAGACAGTAGTGATGGCGGGCAACTCTGACACCAACAGTCACCGAAGAGGAACTTCACATGGGTGAAGACTGACATGAAGTACAACTCAATGCCACAGCCACACATTCTATGTAAATACCCAGTGAAAATAACCAATGGCTTTAGATCCTGATGAGTCTGTGTTCCTCAGGGGACATTCTAGACAAACAGACCTTCAAGCTTCCACTGCGATTTACCTTCGAATGCTTCTCAAAGTGAGGCAAAGATCTGTTTTCAAAGCCATAGGAACCCGGGAGCCACTGATGGCTTGCTGTCCCACACAGGCGATCATCTGTGATATGTTAATGAAGGAACCTGGGAACAGGTCAGAAATGGAAAACTGTCCTGGAAACAATAACAGAAGCCAGGCAGACCAGAGGGATAAAATAGAATGTGACACAGCACAACCCTTACTCTCACAGCCTAGGAGTCCAAGGGACTGAAGGGCAGAACTACAGTGACAGTTGGAACCAAGGAAAGGGCTCCGGGGCATGTGCAGGTGTGGGGTGGAGGGAAGGCCACTGGAGTCTTTCTGATGACCGTCAGATTGGACTCTGGACATGGGGTCTGCAGAGAGAGGAGGATGGGAGAAGGAATCTGAATGTGTGTGGAAGAGCCTCACTCTCAGGAACTCAGCCAAATTACCCACCAGTTTCTCCAAAAGTCTTAAATGCCCCATCCAAATCAAACCAAAGCTCAGTCTTCCATTATTTAGAGACTTAATATAGACTGAAGAGCCTCTATGAAGTTATGACCACCAAAGATCTGTCTAGTGTCAAGCTCCTGGCAGGGCACACAGACAGCCAACCCTGAGGGCTTAGCTCACCTGTGGAGCCACACAGGGCCATGGTGAGGGGGCTGTTGCTCTTGTCCAGCTCTCAGAGGCAGATAATGGGGATGGTCCTGGATCACTGACAGCACCTTCAGGATCAGGGCCGGGGAGTTGGGGCAAAGGAGAGAAGAAAATGTAGTCTGTGAGGAGAAACACCTGCCAAGTCTGTGGAGCTCAGTGAGCACACACAGAATCAAATGTGTAACAACCAGTAAAAATATCTCCAGCAAGCTCAAGGGTCAACAGCAAACCTAAATACATGACAGGGCATGGTGGAGCACACCTGTAACCCTGGCACCTGGGAGTGCAGGGCAGGATTCTGAGTGCCAGGCCAGACCAGCTGAGCCACCCAGGGACACCCTGTGTCAAACTAAGAGTAGGAAGACTCCTAAGTACAGATAATAGCATTCAGGCCATTATCTGAATCACTGTGCTTGGGAAGCCAAAGCCTCCTTTCTAGGTAACACTCACCTGTTAGGAAGTCCTGAATGGCAGCAATAAGTGGCTCCCCGTTTCTCGGGCTCACAAGGTTTGCTTTGGTCTGAAGGAGAAACAAGCACAAGTCAGCCACTCTGGCTGGACAGTGCAGCCTGAAGGTCTGCATCACATGACTGTAGGCATCACATGACTGCTGAGCTGAGAGGTCTCCACCCCAGCATTCTTACTATCTTGCAATTGCCTTATTGATCAAGAGAAAAGAAAAGTCCCTAGTAGGGGCTCACTCTGTAGCCCAGGTGGCCTAGAACTCACTATGTAGCCTAGGCTGGCCTGGAACTCAGAGTGATTCTCTTGCTTCAATTTCTTGAGCACTAGTGTTAACAAGTGTGTAGACAAGCCTAGCTAAGAACATTCCCTTCTGTGAGAGCTGTATCTCTTAAATCAACCAAATCCATGTTTCTCCACAATGACAGAACTGTGTAACTTTCTCTTGTTAAGTTCCAACAACAGTTGAGAGCAAGCAGAAGTTCCTTGTCAGAGCGGAAATCATCTAATGTTCACGAGAGTCTGTGGAGGTGCTCCTATGAGTCTGTGGGTTTTCTGCGCCTCCTTACCATGTCCAAGGTCCTGTCGGGCAAAGACCTTTTACTTCCCATTTGTGAGCCATCACAGGGTAATGATCCTACATCTGGAGTGGCCACGACACACTCAGCTAGGTTTAGAGACTCTCTCAGAGGGAAAATGGCAGGTGGCATCACATTAGTAGGGACATGGGGTAGGGTTTCATGATTTTGTAAAT